CGAAATGGTTGGCGAAGGAGAAGGAATTGGAGGTTCTGTTATATTTTAAACTCTTTATCTTCGTCATTTACTTGAATCATTACATTTAGGAGCAAGAAAAGCTCGAGCCCTGGAATGTGGACACCATCGGCCATGAGGGCTTCAGTTATTCGAGGGTGAACAAAATCACCGAGAAGAAGCCGCCTCCGAAGTTGTCAGATGAGGAAGATTCGAAGAGAATGGTATTTTTTTATTCATCGTTTAGTCACTCTACCCTAATGCTTTGACATTTTAGACGACATTTTTCGACAAAAATGAGGGCCTAATCCAAGAATACGGGAAACTGAAGACCTTAGAAGAATCTGAAGCTTTTATCCTCGAACATCCTCACCTTGCTAGTGAGTACACAGCTAATTACCTCACTATCGATGCGCTGAACATGGCAATTGACAACAAGGTGCGGTTTTTGATTACCAAATACCCCAGTTTTTTACCATTTGGCTGATTTTCTCAGGAGGAAGAAATGAGCAACATTGCTCGACAATGCATTGTTATTCAATATCTGCTTGAACTTGCCAAAAATATGAATGCCATTCCCACAAATGCGAACATCATCAAAGCTTTCTTCAAAAAGTTTGTTTATTTGTTTACATGTGTTTTTATCATTGTCAATGTTTTCGTTCAGATTCCGCGCAGCCGATCCACAGTATCTGAAGCTCTACACCGATGAAGTGGCAGCATTTGAGGACAGGCTTCGAAGGCGTGCGAAAGAAAAGAGAGATGCAGCTTTGGCGGAGTATGAGGCTGAGGAAAAGGTTTGATTGCAATTTTTCCTTTATCTTTCGCGTTTTTAGTAATGCGACCCCTTTATTCGTTTTATAGCTTCCATATAAAAGACAGCAAGAACTTAGAGGCAGTGGACAGGCAAAATGGACCTTCCTCGGATTTTGATAGAGTTAGGTAGCAGACCCCCCAAGTACACCGTAGTCCAAACTCAACCTGCCAATTTGCGCTAAGTTCTGTAAAGGAGCTTCAAAACTCCACCAACTCCTCCCACTTCCATTGAGTGGGCGTCATTGGTGGTTTTCGCTTGAATTAGCAGGTGGGTTTGGGCTACGGTTACTTGAGGGTCCACTATCTAATCCTACCAAAATTCAAGAAGGGTCCACTTTGCCTTTCCACTGCCTTTGAGTGATTTTTATTGAATTCGTTTGGTAATGGTAGCTCTGTTATAAATATGCATATGTTTTATCACCTTTTTTATTTATTTAGAATCCCTCAAGAAGCACCAAAAACGAAACGCATTTGACAGTATAAGTACCATACT